ACCTAATGATATATTTGATTTTATAATCAAATATTTGATTAACAAAAGTATGCTTGTCTTGTTGTGTTGGTTGGGGACATTACACTAATCTCATTTTGTTTTCGTCCCTAAGCAATTTCCTAGCATTTTCTTAATACATTGTATTATATATAATGTGAGTATCCCTCCCCATTTTAGTAGTGTAATTTTCGGCCATCACAAAGAAGAGAGAAGAAAATTATATTTTGTGTTCAAAGTTATTTTTCTAAAGTGTTAGAAATATACACAAAATATTATAAACAAATATTTATAAGATAAATATTTTACTATATATTTATTACTCCCAAAGTAGTATTATTATAGTTTTTACTATCCTATATTAAACTTGCTAGCACAAGTTTAATCTTGGACTTCGGAGCAAGTTCGTGTGGATACGTTGGAGGCTTCATACGTTTGGCGCTACGTTCATCTCCTCAAAACCATCCCCGACCGTTCCTCCGTTCTCCGTTTTCACCGTTAAGGTAAATTTCTTACTATAGCTAGTAATTTACGTAAGTTGTTCTTGGGTGGAATCGAGTTTTGGACTATAAATTTTTGTTTTCCGCTGCGTTATCCAATCCTCGTTTCCCAACACGTTCTCCATGATCGCATGAAGCATGTTGGCTCTGACTGTCCCTTTGTTCGAGACGAGGTTATGGCTGGCACTATGACTACACATCATGTTCCTTCTTCTGAGCAGCTTGCTGACATCTTGTCAAAATAATGAGTCCACGAAACCTAAGATTTATTGTGATAATGAGTCCACAATCTGTGTCACCAAGAATCTCGTTCTCCATGATCGCATGAAGCATGTTGGCTCTGACTGTCACTTTGTTCGAGACGAGGTTATGGCTGGCACTATGACTACACATCATGTTCCTTCTTCTGAGCAGCTTGCTGACATCTCCTACAAACAAATTCTCAATATTGTCTACCATTCTAGCATAGTCCTTAGACATAAGAACATCATTAAAGTGATGGTATCCAGTTTTTGGGTTTGTGCAAAATAACCTGCGCTATTGCACAACATACAAATCACTTGAAAGGGATGTTATTTGTGTATATGCTTTCTAAGTATTGCCAAACATGTACCTAAATAAACTAATGAAAGAATAATAGAAGAATTGCTGAGATACACTATGCTTGTTGACCTAGGAGCTCAGATTACTCAATAATGACTCTTTTTGCACCATTAGCAAAGGAGCCCGGTTCCATGGCCACTGGATTCCAGTGGCCACGGAAGTCACTGTCCCCCTACGGAGCTCCGTTCACAAAATTGATGATTCCTGCCTCTCCTAACCCCTCGATAAACCCCCTCGCCAAGTCCCGACCCAAACTAATCACCCCACCTACGTCAATTGCACCTCGTAAGTATAAAGTCAGAAATTTTGACTTTAAAGTCAATTATACTTACGAGGTGCAATTGACGTAGGTGGGGTGATTAGTAGACCTGGAAAAACAGAACTGGAACCGATTACCCGAACCGAAATATTCGAAACCGAAACCGGAATGACCCGAAAAATGAAGATCCGATCTATAACCGAAAACCCGAAATGATCCGAATCGAACCAAAACCGAACTAAATAATTCATATCCGATTTAAATCCGAAACCGATTAGATCCGAAATCGATAATATCCGAACCGATTAAACCCGAAACCGATTAGATCCGAACCCAATAATACCCGAAACCGATAAAATCTGAAACCGATTAGATCTGAAACCGATAATATCCGAACCCGATTAGAACTAAAATCGATAAATCCAGAACTATGTTTGCCTTTCAATAAGCATATTATATTTTTTAATTTTTTTTACTTTTATTTTTACCATTTGAACTAATTACATTACTTGCTCATTCCCTCATAAAATAGATTATCTTCTTGAAAAAAAGTACAAAATTTTATGCCTTAAATTTATTATATGTAGAAATTAAAGATAAGTTATACATATAAATGATAACACACAAACAAATAAAATTTGCGTAATTTTTAAATAGTGAAGTGTGATATTCTTTTTGAAACGAAAGGAATATATGATGAATTGTATGGGATAACTAAATTTTATCCTAATTTCATCTCATTACAATAAATTTTATTGATTTAAGAGTTAATTTGATTAGTTTCAAACCAATTCACTCAATATAGCGGTAGCCTTTACTGTTTTCATTTTCAAATTTGATCTACACCATTATATTTAGGTTTAAAATTAATTATATTTAACTCTATTAAATTTAATTTTCTCTATTTTCAACCAAATATACTCAATAATTTACAAATTTTGCACTCAATTGAATAAAATTCACTTAATTTCACCCAATTTTATTCAATTTTTACCAAATTGTATTCAAATGAAACATAAGACTATTTGAATTTATCTTTTATCCTTTCATTTATATACATAAGTATATTAGTAGATGTGAGAAAGATTTGATATTTCAAAACTAAATTTTTAAATCAATTTAATTATATTAAATTTATATCATACTTAAATATATATGTTTTCATAATTTGTAGTCTAAATTTGTAAAATATGACTAAAAAATCAAAAAGGGAAGATTATTTAGGGTAGAGATAATATAACTAGAAAAAAATGTAAAATAATATGAAGTATTGAATTGATGATAGATTGATAAATGTGATAAAACATAAAAAGAAACAGAGATAGTTAAGTTTTAATTAGAAAATAATATATATCCAAAATATATTAGATCCGAAACCGAAATATATCCGAACCGAACTAGACCCGAAACTGAAATATATCCGACTCAAATTGTATCTGAACCGAAATCTATCCGAACCGATTTATAATCGAACCGTATCTGAACCGACTCGAAACCGGACCGAATCGAAAAATGTATAGAACCGAAATCAAATCCAAACCGAAATTTAACCGATCCGAACCGAACCAAACCGATTATACATATAACCGAAAGATATCCGAACCAAAAAAATCCAACCCGAACCGATCCGGTTGATCCGATTGCCACCTCTAGTGATTAGTCTGGTTCGAAACTTGGCATGAGGGTTTACCGGGAGGGTTAGGAGGGGTAGGAATCATCAATTTTATGAACGGAGCTCCGTAGGGGGTCAGTGGCTTCCGTGGCCACTGGAATCCAGTGGCCATGGAACCGGGCTCTTGGCAAAGAATGGATGGAGAATTGTTGTAGCTCTACAAATTCAGATGATATCATCCTCTTCTTTTGAAGAATAACACTTTCTTAATTGTGGTCGCATGCATCAACACAATTTTTTTGAATTTATTTACCTATAAAAAATGAAAAAAATGTTATCAAAACAAAATCAATGGGTTAGAGATTCAATTGATATATGTTTGAGATTCAAATTAATGGGTTAGAGATTCATACCTAATTTCTCCCAACAATGCAATATTTTTTTGACATATCACAAATCATAGATTGTAGCATAAGACAATGAAGAAAACATCAAAGTATCCATTGATGTGTGAAACCTAGCAGAAGTGAAGATTAGTATGACCAAAAAAGAAATAGAAGCGGAGAGGTGAGACAAAGAAGTATAAACACTACCCGTCCTTATCATGCAGCTCCGTAGTGACCATAAAGCTTCTTCATTTCCGTCTTAGTTGTCCCTTGTCCTTGTCGTGGTCTAATGAAATCTTATGACCACAAAGCTTCTTCATTTTCGTCTTTATTTCGGTCTTAGTTGTCCCTTCAAACACTTTAAAACGTGTGTTCTGATTCCAACTTAAAACTTCATAAACTACATGCATTTCTAACTTACCAAAAATATTCAGGTTGTTATGAAAGCAAGCTAGATCCTAAAATTTTCTTATTTTATTGCTTGATCAGAGACAGTGGCCATTAACCTTGGAAAATAAATTTTGAATAATGCTACAAAATAGTGATCATTATTGTCAAATAACAACAAAACAAATATGTCGGAAATTTATCAAGAGTTTCAAAAACAAAGTCTAAAACTCATAAGGCCAATTAGAGCTTCAAATATTTTTTTATCCAGCAAACCCACACTTAAAAAAAATAGATTTCTCATACTAATAATAATATAATTATAGGCTCTTTGATAATTTCTTTATGCATGTTGGTAATTTTTTTTAGTACCCTCACCTAATTAATCATAGCCACTTTAACAATTTTAGGCCCTCTAAGATTTCGTATTTAGGCTCATTCAAAAAAATTACTTCCTCCGTCCCTAAATAAAGTTCCATTTTTGACTTTTTGAGGATTTAAGGGAGAGATATTTTTGTGTTGACTTTCTAAAAATACCCTTGATGTGATGTGTAAAAGTAAGATGTGATAGGTAGATTATTAGTAAAAAGGTATGATGTGATAGGTAGGGTATGAAAAAGTAAGGGGTAAAAGAGGTTTTTTAAAGGAAAAGAGAAGTTTATTTGGGGACAAAGAAAAAACGAAAGTGGAAGTTTATTTAGAGACGGAGGGAGTATTTTTTTTCCAAAAGTAGTCTCAGCATGACACTTAAAAATTATGAAATGAAGAGTGAAATTCATAAGAACACTACTTTGTATATACTACCCAAGTCCCAGGCCAAAGAAGGTTTAAAAAAATCATATACAAAGAAATAACATGAAACAAAGAATAAAAACCGATATATTTATCTTAGTAAAAAACTGCAATGAAAAGTCCAAAACAATAAATGGAAGAGATACCGGGAGTGATGTCAAAGACATCTCTACAGCCACTCAAAAAGAGTGGCTACGGAAGCCACTCACCCAATTGGGATACCTAAGGTGCTCTGTTCGCAAAAATGATAGTTCCTACCCCCTCTAACCCACCGGTAAACCCCCACCCGGTCCCGATCCCAAATCATCCCCCTAACCACGTCAATTGCGGGGTGCAAGTTTAGTTGACTTTGGAGTCAAAATTTTTGACTTTAAAGTCAATTATGCTTACGGGGTGTAATTGATGTAGGTGGGGGGATGATTTGGGGTCGGGACTTGGTGGGGGTTTACTGGGAGGTTAGGGGGTAGAAATCATCAATTTTATGAACGGAGCTCTGTAGGGGGGCAGTGGCTTCCGTAGCAACTGAAACCCAGTGGCCACCGAACCGGGCCACAAAGACATAGTGGACCAATTATACCGACATTATCATCAGCTTAAGAAAGACTTTATGTCCAACCAAACTTGCACCCCATGTGAAAAAAACTTGTCCCCAAAAAAGGCTCATTTTAATTTCAAAGGGCATAAGCATATCGTTTCAAATACTATTGCCTAATAACTAAACTAACAACACATTCAACATGTTGTGCGTACTTCGTATGGTTACATCTTTGCTGCCATGTAGTGTTGATCAATTCTTAAACATAAAATATAAATTAGGGATTTAATCATGTGTACATGATAATCCTGTAAACGTAGTTAGGGATGAAGTCATGTTTCTCACGCAGATCGGGTTCCCGTTTAGGGTGTATCATTATGATGACTAAGGTGAGGATGAGACTCACGAGAATAGAGAGGCAGAGAGAAGGCGTAAGATTGGTGTGTTAATCTCTGCCTAATGACCTCTATATATATACACCCAAAGGGAAACCCTAATTAGGTCATAAGGGTAATTACGTCCATCGAATAATTACCAATTAAGTACGTAGGGTATTTATTAGGTCAATGATCAATTAATTAGATAAATGATAACTCAGGCCACATAATAAAATCGTGTCTAACATTCTCCCACTTGGCCGAGTAATCATTTATGATGAGTATTAGATAAGTCTGATTAGATTTTAATACTCATTTTAGTTCTAAACCGAAATTGTAGCAGAGAAATACAGTCATTGAATCAATATTCAATTCAAGACCCCCATTAATCATACTACAATACCAAATTTAAAACTTAAATAAGCTAAGGATCAAATTGACAATTAAGCCCATAACATTATTCTGTATATAAATGTTGTCTATTTTTCTTTAGGCATGCATAGACACATTCAGAGACAAACAAACAAAAGTATGAGGAAATTTTATTATTAAATGTAAGCAAGTACAATATGCAACTAAATAAGGTCTTTAGAAAACCCCATCTTCGAAACATGTTCTTCGAAAATCTTAGGAGGGAGACCTTTAGTCATCGGATCCGCAAGCATATTCTTAGTACTTATATGCTCAATACAAAGTTTATTTTCCTCAACTCGCTCACGTACGAACAAGTACTTTGTATCAAGATATAAAGCAGCGCCAGTCGAACTGTTACTGTTCGAGAAACTAACGGC